TTTTCGTGAACTACATTTCATGTTACGATCTGCAGCCTGTAAAGTTTCCATCAGAGTTGTTTATATTCTCCTGTCTAAATTGTATTCCAGACAGATGTTGTATTTTATCATATTTTCTAGTTGAAGCTCATGCACTTGTGACACCGGGTTTTGGGAGTTCCTACGGGTTATTCGTTATTGTAATTCGTGTAATTCTATCTCACACTATTTAATTAATAAAAAACTTATGATTTTAAAGTATTATAATGAGTAATTGAATTGATCAATCACTGTTGACTTGCCTGACGGCGGTGTTAGGCGTCATCACGACCTACAGTGAATTTTGGGTCGTGACAAAACTCAAAATGTGCGCATGCATGTGCAACTAAGGATGTGGTAAAGATACAAATTAAGTACATCATTTTGACTAAAGTTTGAACATAGGGCATTTGTATTGAGGAAAGGAACAAGCACATGACAGGCACGTGATGGCAGAAGGATTAGATTGTTAATAGTTAGTTAGTTAGTTATAACTAATTATGTGATTGGGCACAATGAAACTAGTGATAGAATAATAGAATTAGTTGCACTATTGTAGTGTGTGTGTATATAGATCATTAGCTCATTGCATTGCTTAAGATTTGCAATATGGTAGCTCAAATTACTTTCAATGGATATTATTCTCTAGAACCTTCTCATTCATTTCCTTCTCTAACAATCTCACTAAGTTATTCTCAAATCTCCATTAGGGTATCAGAGCGCAGGAGATAGATTCCTATTCACTACGATTATTATTCTCTAATTTCTACAAAGTTTTCTTTGTTGTAGATCGGTTGCGATTTTCTCGATCGATTAAGCTAGGGTTTGTTGATTCCTTCAATTTGCGACTGGAGATTCCGTGAATTGTGAAATCAAAGACTTAAATTGCTTGATTTGACTTGGAGAAGAAATTTCAACTGGAACCAGCATAGGAACAACCATATCAACTATCGATCATCATCATCCTCTGTATTTACACCCATGCGACACTCCAGATAACTCCTTGATTTCAATTCAGCTGACTGAAACTGAGAACTATGCGTTATGGAGTAGATCTATGAAAATAGGATTGATTGGTACAAGTAAGTTGGGTTTTGTTGATGGACGTTGTACTAAGGATAAGTTTGATCGGTCATTGTATGAACTTTGGGAGAAATGCAATGTAATATTTCTGTCATGGATTATGAATGTTGTGAGCAAGGAATTGCTTAGTGGAATTATGTACAAATCGAGTGTACATAAGGTTTGGATAGATTTGAAGGATAAATATGACAAAGTGGATAGATCTCGTATTTTCTTTCTGCATAAGAAAATAGTTTTCACAAGGAATTTCTTCTGTGTCTGCTTATTTCTCAAAGTTGACAGACCTTTGGGAAGAATATGATGCATTGATGACCTGTCCTGGATGTGATTGCCCAGAATCTAAAAGTTATTCAGAGCATTTTGTATATCAGAGGTTATTACAGTTCTTAATGGGCCTAAATGAATCGTATGCACAGCCTAGGAGCCAAAATGTGATGATGAGCCCAGTGCCTTCTATCAATAAGGCATATTCCATGATAGTTTCTGAGAAAAGCCAAAGATCCTTGGGAAAGTTTACACATGTGATTGACATCACAGATGGTATAACATTGTTCGCTAATAAATGAGGAGTGACCACAGGAAAAGATTACAAGCCTAGGAGGAATAATTTATTCTGTGATTTCTGCAACTATAAAGGGCACACAAGGGAGACCTGCTTTAAGATACATGGATATCCAGCTGACTTCAAAATGAGGAAGAAGACCAACAACTTCCCTCAATGACCAATGGTGAATGCAACAACACATGAGGCATAGCAGTTAACGGGTAAAGCAACAGCTAATGCAGTATCTCAGGAGGGGCAGCAGATGATGAACACACTAGTGGAAAATTCAACACGAGCTCAACCAATCATGTTCACTCAGGAACAATATGATCAAATCTTAAAGCCGATCAACAAGGATACAGGTGATAACATAAAGAATTTTATAGGTACAACTAAGACTACTGCAACAAATGACAAAGTAAAGAATAAAAATTGGATAGTAAACTCGGATGCATCCAATTACATGGTTCACACCAAAGAATTGCTTGAGAGATAAACATTGATAGCATAAATACTGAATCTAAAGTGTATTTACCTAATGGTACCTCATTAGACATTGCTTGCACTGGAGAAAGTAAAATTAGTGAAAGCGGTGTCATTAGAATATGCTCTATATTACAGATTTTAAATACAACGTATTGTCTGTTTCCAAACTTACAAGGGACTTAAACTGCTTCATATCTTTCTATCCTGACTTTTGGATCATGCAGGACCTTCATAAGAGGAAAGTGAAGGGGATTGGTAAGGAACTAGATAACTTGTACAATTTGCAGCACTAGAAAAATGAAGTTAAGACAGCACATGTACAAGTACATGATGATTATATGAAAGAAGAGGATTTAGGAATATGGCATGGCAGACTTGGATATGCTCCAAATAAAGTAGTAAAGCAAATTCCAAACATGAAGTTCAAGTCCAATAGTAATAGATTATGGGATTGTACAATCTATCCTCTAGCTAGACAAGGAAGATCGCCCTTCTCAAAGAGTACAAGTATATCAAATAAGCCTTTTGAGCTAATCCATATAGATGTATCGGGTTCATATAGAGTGAAAACTCAAAATGGACAGAAATCTTTCCTTACTATAGTAGATGACTATAGTATGATGATATGAATTTATCTGTTAAGACTCAAGAGTAATGTAGTTGTATGCTTGATGCAGTTTTTAGCCTTAATAAAGACTCAATTTAGTGCAACAATCCAAAATTCTAAGGAGTGACAATGGATCTGAGTTATTTAATTATGAATGCAGTAATTTATTTCATTCATATGGAATGATTCATCAGAGTTCTTGTGTCCACACCCCACAACAAAATGGGGTGGTGGAGAGAAAATACAAACATATACTAGAGATGGCCATGGTAATTAGATTGCAGGGTCATCTACCTCTCAAATTATGGGGAGAGTGTGTGCAAGCAGCAGTATATGTGATTAACAGACTCCCTTTATCAGTACTGTCAGGCAAATCTTCTTTTGATATATTGTATGGGAAAGCACCATCCTTGCAGCACATGAGAACCGTAAGATGCCTTTGTTTTGCTAAACTCCTGGTAGGAGGAGACAAATTTGCAGCAAGAGCTAATGGGGTTGTTCTGATGGGATATTCATCATCCTAGAAAGGCTACAGACTATAATATCTTGACTAACACCTTTTTTGTTAGCAGGGATGTGAAGTTCGTGGAGCACATCTTCCCTTTTCAACTTCTAAAGAAAGGAAAGCTGCAGGTTTTTCCCAATTGAGTGATAGAGTCATCTACCAGTAGCCATGATGTATACTTGCTAATAATAATGATGGCTCAGCAGGACCAACTCCTCTAGAAGAAGATACATTCACTCGAGAAGCATCACTTGCTGCATAGACACCATCCCCATCACTTTGAAGATGTCTTTGAAGATGCACAACAACAAGTAGAGTTGTCCTCATAAGCAGTTATTCTCACCAATATAGATGGTCAGCTCAGGAAATCAGGAAGGACTGTGAAGGAACCTATGTGGATGCAGGATTATGTGTGCAATGGGTCATTGACAAGTTCAGTTGACACATTATCTTGCAAGTATCCAATGCAAGACTACTTGAGTCATACTGGTATTTCAGCCAAGTATAAATCCTATCTCAAAATCACCAACTTGAAGGATCCTATGAGCTATGAAGAAGTAGTAGCAGATCCCAAGTGGGTTAAAGCCATGGACCAAGAGTTGACTACCCTCAAAGAAAATGATACTTGGACATTAGTAGACTTACCAGCAGGAAAGGTACCTATTGGATACAAGTGGGCATTCAAAATAAAGTATAGAGACAATGGAGAAGTTGAGAGATACAAGGCTCGATTAGTGGCCAAATGTTGTAATCGGATTGAAGGGTTAGATTACCGGGAAACTTTTTCTCATGTAGTCAAGATGGTGACAGTAAGAGCAGTCCTAGCTTTGGAAACAACATCTAATGGATGTATACAATTCAATTATTCAAAGAGACCTCACTGAAAAAGTCTACATGTGCATACCTCAGGGATTTCACAGCCAGGGGGAGAAAGTATGTAGGTTGCATAAATCCCTTTATGGATTAAAGCAAGCTTCAAGACAGTGGAATTTGAAACTGACTGAGGCATTGCTCAGTTCAAGTTTTTTTCAGAGTCACTTTGATTATTGTTTGTTCACAAAGAAGCAAGGGACCATATTAGTAATCATCCTGGTATATGTGGATGAATTCCTCATAATTGGGAATGACCAATGTCTAATTTCAGAGGCAAATTCCATATTGTAGTGTAACTTCAAGATTAAAGACTTAGGGGAGTTGAAGTTTTTTCTTAGAATTGAAATAGCAAGATCAAAAGAAGGAATATTGATGAATCAAAGAAAATTTGTAATGGAATTGATCATTGATCTTGGACTAGCAGGATCAAAACTAGTAGCTTCACCAATGCAACGCAATCAGAGATTAACTACTGTCGAATATGATCAACACTTAAATCTGAAAGAAGATGAGAAGTTGGCAGATGTAGGGCTATACCAAAGACTGGTGGGCAAGTTGTTGTTGTATCTCACCATGACAAGGTCATACATTTGCTATGCAGTGCATGTGCTAAGTCAGTTCATGCATTGTCCAAAGAAGTTACACATGGAAGGTGCAGTAAGACTTGTGAGGTACATAAAAGGTGCTCCAGGATTAGATTTACTAATGAGCTCAAAATATTTCACAAAGTTCACAGCCTTTGTGATACTGATTGGGCATCATGCCGAGTGTCCAGAAGGTCTATGACAGGATATGTGATGAAGTTGGAAGATTCTTTAGTATCTTGAAAATCAAAGAAGCAATGCACAATATCAAAAAGCTCAGCAGAAGCTGAATATAGTAGCATGGCTGCTGCAGTCTCAAAAATCCTATGGTTAACAGGACTGCGCAAAGAATTGGGTGCAGAGGTTGAATCACCAGTGGAACTGCACTGTGATATCAAAGCAGCAATCCAAATTGCTGCAAATCCCATATTCCATGAACGAACAAAATATATAGAGATAGATTTGCATTTCATCAGGGAGAGAATTCAACAAGGGATTGTCAAAACAAAGTATGTGATGTCAAAGGACCAAGAAGAAGACTTGCTTACAAAGGCCCCGGGAAGATCACAACGTGAACATCTAATGGGCAAGCTAGGAGTGCTCAACCTATTTGCACCACCTAGCTTGAGGGGGAGTATTGAGGAAATGAATAAGCACATGACTGGCACGTGAGGGCAGAAGGATTAGTAAGATATATATAGCCTTCTATGGAGAAAAAAAACACCCTATCTTATGTGGATATTCTTATACTTCCTCTGATCCACTTTAATTGATTTGTTGGCATTTTTTTTTTGTTGGTCTGCAATATTTATATATTTTTCAGATATCAATAAGGAATTAACTTCTTTTTTTTCAAAGTTGTCATTGGAATAAAGAGCCTAGGATTATTTGTTATATTTTCAATGAACAAATTAAAATTAATATGGTTAATTTTATTGTTAATTAATGATAAAAGGTGATTCCTCCATATGTGTGAAAACAACTAAAAAATCAATTAAAGTGAACCGAATGGAGTACTTCAAAACACACTGAATTATTGCTTCTAAGTGATATTATGAATAAAAAGGTCATTAAAAAAATTATATATGTCATCCTCTGTGTGATACTACATAGCAAATTAAAGTGTGTGATATTACTTTGACTTCTGGTCTCTCTGCTATATTATCTGGCTTTCCCAAATAGGAATAAGTCCTCTTCATTTGCAGCGACACTTGCACTCACTTTATCTCCAATCAAATGCAACTGCACCTAGAGTTGTAATGTATCCCATACACATTGACCAACTGTTCTATCCCGGAAAGAAACCAAAATAAACAAAGTAAACACACTTGGCAGAGTTTACTAACGAAATGGTAAATTCTATAATGTATTTATATTATAAAGAATTTATATTATAAAGAATATTTTACATAATTTATTTATTTAAATAATACTAACTATAAAGTGATTTTTACCTGTCATTTGTCATAAGTTGGTACTTGCAAGTACTTTTGGAAAGATTGATCAAATACACATTTATTTCTATAATTGGTAAAAGCACTTCCAAAATGATTTACAAAGGTGCAATAGATTGATTTCAAGATAAAAGAGAGAAGGAAATGACAATGCAAAGTAAACGAGCTTGTGATGTGGTTTTTTAAAAATAATGTTTGGGAATTTTGACTTTGTTCTTATAGAATAATCTGACAAACTCGTATTTTGTTCAAAGCTAAGGAAAAATGCCTCAAAAACAAAAGAAAAATAAGTCAATGCCACTAAACAAGGCATTTGGAGCGACACATCTATTAGATGTTCCCTCCATTATTTACAGCAAATTAACTAGCCGAAATTGAGTTAAAACATTTTCTTAATACCTAACACACCCAAAATGTATCTTGTTTTCACTTGAGTTGGGCCTTAAAAAGACCCCAGAATAGTAGAAATGATACCAGGTAGCCACTCTAAAGGGTTGTTATTTAGAATTTAGTCAGTACGTTTTGAATTTCAGTTTTTCAGTTCAATTTTCCAGAACAAAAATGTTTTGAGTTGTCCTGAAATCAAGATTTTTAGTTTAAAATTCCAGGACAATAAGTACTGGCTAATCTCTAAATAGTATCCCTGAGAATGACTATCTGTACACTTCAGAATATCCATAAAAGAGATCAAATTATTTAAATTAAAATGCTTGCAGCTCCCATGAATTATTTGTTGAGCGGTATATAAATTAATTAAAATTTAAAATCACCTGCATTAAGAGTATCAACTTGAGGATCGATCCGAATTAAAGTAGATTGCTAATTCCGCATCCACTTAATTATTACTGAATCATTTACGCTATTGTTGAGTATCAATTGCAAAAGTAATCCAGAAATAATGGTTTGAAACATACATAATTAAGACAAAGATCACGATGCAGTTATCTTGGTCTTAAATTAGGATTTGCAATCACAGTGTCCATTAAGATGTCATTGTTTTATCCATAAGACCAAAAATTGCTTTATAAAAAAATTTTCCTCATAAAAAAAGAACTTATGGAGTATAAGTTAACTTATGAAATACCAGTTACGTATTTGTAATCTACATGTCTTAGTTTTTCAGCTTACATGCATGGCCTAGATGATACATGCGAAATGTATTACTCCACAAAGTGAAAGAAGTATATATACGTAATTTCCAACTACTGATGGCAATTAATTAGACGAAAGTATAGCTAGCTTTTAAGTAGTACCGTACGTATAATAAATTCAACTAAAATGTAAAAGAGGAATAACCAAGCAGAAAAAACATCAAAATTAATATTGGTCCGCTAGCTGCAACATGTTCCATTGGGATACAATAAATCTTCAGTGGTACGTAGCTAGGTACTACATTGTAATTAAATTGCTATAGTATAAGCCAGGAATTAATGGAAACGATAATAAGACACTATTGCCTAATATATATTAATGGTGTCAGCGTAATACCTTTAAATAATGGAGCACGTACGCAAGTCATTTTTGGCTACAAGCTCTTACTCTTCATCTAACAATTCTTTTCTTTGTTGAGATGGCAAGTTACTCATGTATTTATTTATAGCCTCAACACAAATTGGTAATGGAGACGTTATATCTCTGGCATTATTGTGTATGGTACATACTTTCTTTTTTCTTCTATAGTGCTCACTTTGGTCTGTTGGCTACATTATCTCTGACTTCCCAAATTGGAATAAGTTAATGACACTTGTGCTCCCTTTTATCCCCAGTCAATCCCCTTTTTCTTTCTTTCTTTCTTTCTGATAATTAAACTACACATCATTCAGTAGTTTTATTTTTCAGATACTTGACTTACGCAGGAATTAATTAGTCAGGCAACTTCTGCTGAATCTTATCTTAAAAATTGAACGAAATCATGATTTCAATCAACGAAAGTGAACTGCAATAGCTAAATTGAGGAGCGTAATTTCTCTTTTCATTTATTAGTTCAGTTTTCAAGAATTTGATTTCCAGATATTGAAGGAAAAAGAATGAAGAAATTAAAGAACTTGTGCTTTATGTTGTGCTTATATTCTTGGGAATTTTGACTTTTGTTCTCGTAGAATCTGACAAATTCACATATCGAAATAAATATATGAAATTTAAAGTGCCCCACGGGAAACATTAGAGGAGGTACAGTATTTTATTTATACTGCATCATCGACAATAGTTATATACTTTATTTGATTTTCCTACTTGATGAAGTAATACGATACCATGCTCGTCTTTTTCCTCTCCTTTAGCTTTCATTTGATCTTCAAAATCTCATTTTTTATTACGAGTTTAAATTTTTTGTTTACCTTGAACTTCAAAAGAGATCACACAACAACGGAATGGAACCTCCTCCCACCCCCATTACCCTCTAGTCACACTTACTTCAGAGCTTGAATTGCAAATAATATCGATTCATACAGAAGAAAAGGTTCTCTATTATAACAGATTTGTTGATGCTAGAGTCCACCTGTTGACCTATTCAACAGCTGAGCTAAAAACAGTCTAAACAGAAAACAATGAAGCAATTGGATTCGTGAAAACTGAAGAGAACAAAACTGTTTTTCAAGTTCGTTCATATTCTACATAAACAAGCTTCAGTAATGGAGAAGTCTGAGAAAAGACCATGTCAATACATGATTGTTCGTAGTGGTGGACAATGACGAGCAGTTTCCTTCCATAACTAGCTTGCTCTGTATAAATTGTTCAAACAACACTAAATGCCGACTGTAGAGTAGAGGAGAATCGAGAAGTAAGAGTCTGGGCTGCAAATGCTTGGAGCTGCTTCTTAGCATCTGGATTTCAGAAAAAAAATACTATGAAGATTAACAAGAAAAGGCATACTGGAAAACAAAATAGGAAAAGGGAATAGTACATTGACATCAGATAACAAGAAGTACCAAAAACAAAAATGAAAAAACTGAAACAAGCAGGGCAAGATAGAAACCAATCCAAGATACACAAACTAATGAGGAAACCCAACAAAATCTACCGTCATATTATATTCTTGCATGAAAGTTGGAACACCCAAACAAAATAAAACACCAGCAGTAATGATATTGTTAGGCGCAGAATCCACAGAAGTTATAGTAAGTACGCACCTTTGCGACATCTAGTAAAACCAACAATATTTGCGACGCTGAGAGTCAAGCAAACTCCAACAACGAGAAGATAGTCAGCTTGGAATCTAATGAGGGAGAATATCGCGAGAAAGAACCAAGCAACAGCCTACAACGAAGTACACATATCAGGTGCAACATATCAATGGATAACTATATCACTTTGCAAAATAAGGTACAGATAAAAACCAAATATAATCCCTATAACATATGCTACAATATGCTTTTGAAGTTTGAATCCTGGAATAATAAAAGCTGAAAACAGAAAACAAGAAGCCAAGGTGTGAACGGCCATCGTTCATATCCAAACTTATGTGTTTTGCCAATTTTTCTTGAATTCTTCTGATTAATACATGTGCTCAATTTGTTTATGTTGAACTTTAGAATAAGCAGTCAGTGTGATAAGAGTCTTCACTTACTGTTAGGTACAAAGTCCACCAGAACAGCCAGGAATCCTTCTTGTTCATGCGAGCCATTGACTGAAAGGAAAAGTGAAGGACAAAGGTATGTCCCGGCCAATAAAAAGTTAATCAATTAATAAGACTAAATGCGCGAGCACTTCTAAAATAAACCTATGTATGAAGGGCAAGAAGTCTGCTAAGGAACCTGAGACTAGATTACACACCTCTTGATCAAGGCACTCAAATCTCCACACACTCTCGCCATTATCATCTATTTCATTCCACCATCTTAAACCCACCAGGATACGCCCACTCACATTCTTAACCACCCAAAAGTCAAAAGCAGCTAAAAGAACAGTTATCACAAATATGATAACAAAACTATCAACAAATAGAGCTGACAGAATATAAAACGCTAGTGCTGCTGCCTGTCAATGCAAAGGAAATGTGTTAAGTAAATACAATTTATAAGACATTAAAATAAGAAGACTATAATAAACTGCACCTTGAAGAGCACATGAAAAAAGCATATCTGTGGGTGCGCATAGTCCTCCCCTGCAGGCTGAAAAAGAACGTGATAGTGTAACTAGCATTATGACAGAAAAGATCAACATTTTTTTATGTGCTTCCCTCCTTTCCTTGCACCAGAGAGTGTTCAGGGTGTAAGAGGT